ACTACTACTGCTATTATTATATGTGCTGCCGAAGCGAGTGCACTATTACTATTATTATTGGGGGCTTGCAGGTTAGCTCAGTTGTTTAAGTGCTTGCTGGGGCGAACCCAGTCAGGCGCAAGGCACCACAATTCGATCCCCAGCTCCCCATGCCTTACCAGACATGTCCTTAAGGCAGTGTGAGCCAGTCCCAAAAAAAAAAAAAAAAATCCTTCTCAACTTTAGGGCTGGGGACATAGCTCAGTAGAATAAACGCTTACCTGGCAAGCACAAGGTTCTGAGTTCAATCCCTGATACCAGAAAAACAAATAAACAAACAATCAAACAAAAAACACCAAAAAAAAAAGGGCTGGCTTGATAGCTCAAGAGACTAAAGTGCCTGCTTAGGCAGAGCACAGCTTCAATCACCGGCATGCTGTGCCAGCCCTGCGTCCAGGGCATGCTGAGCTCAGGTAATCCCCGAGCTTGGGAGGCTGAAAACAAGAGAATCACTATGAGTCCAATCTATGTAGTGGGACCCTGTAGACCCTGTACTAAATACATTAGAATAAATAAATAAATAAATAAATAAATAAATAGCAAAGTTAACCTGGTGGTATTACTTCTAGTTCTACACACTATGGTTTTGTTTGTTTGTTCTTAGAGAACTAAATCTGAGATATTTTCCACCCCTCTCACCTGAAAAGAGTGACAGACATAATATTTTGAGATATAAAAAAACTTTACTCTTATTATTTACATGTATTGAAGGCTAAAACCTTGGCACCACAATAAATGAATTAAGTGGGCTGCTGTTAAGAAAACCTGGGCAGTCTCCACCAAGTAGCATTGGGTTTGGGAAGACACCAGAAATGGCAGAGGTTATAGAACTTGAATAGCTCCATATCTGAGGTTGATTACTGCTACACAAAAATATGCAATCAGAGCTTTTGACTTCCTAAGAGAAATGAGAAAGCTTCATTTTATGTATATGCATAGAAACTCCTGCTTGTTCATAAGTGGCAACTGTTTTTATCATCTCAAAGCTGTAGGGGCCATTCTTGGAAGCCAAAGTAAGCACATGTGCTGGCCAAATGTGGCCTTGAGGTGCCTGTGTGTGACCTCAGATTTACATCTTACTGTTACTATGTTTAGCAGAGCACAGTACAAGCTCTTCTTAGTGTCCCTCCCAAGATTCCCCAGTGGCTGCTGATCTGGATGTGTTCTGACAATGCTAAGCATGTCAAGATTTTCCAGAGTTCTGCATACATCTTCATGTGTGAAGACAGTAAATAATTCTCATGAGATGTTAACTAGACCTTGAGCTAATTCAGCAGAGTTGCCATCTGGGAGTCCTCAGAAACAGTGAACTGTCAGCACCGTAAACATTTTAGGCTTCACAGAGGACACAGACTTCTAAACTAATCACTCCTGCCAGTCAAGCTTTGCAGAATAGGTTTAAGAACAAGGCATTCATTTAACAACAATAACAAAAACAGTGAGGATGAAAACTGGAGTCATAATAATGAAAGGCCTAAAAGCAAACTGTGACTTCCCTAATAAGGCAGTGACCAAAGTTGGCTCCCTGGTGGTGGAGCACCAATACGATTAATCAGTCTGTTTTCGGTTTTCTCACGACAGCAATATTAACAGTTTGCTCTATTCTGTTTATATGGTGCTGACAGGTCTTCAGCATGTTGGGCCTACTTGCTGGAGATTAATGGCCATTTTTATACTGAGGTAAAACTAGGCAGGGAGAGAATGCCTTTTATGACTAGATAAGAACTGAATTCTCCTGCTCCCCCCCACCCCCATTGCCTATTAACTATTCCCTCTTCTAATTTCTATTAGGGTCAGGGATACATAAGACAGTCATGTCTCAAGGTTCCTCTCACTGGCTAAGCTCCTTTCACTTGAGATGTTGTATCTGCAGTGAAAAAATGGGAACTTTATTGATTTTGGATATGTTTATCATCTCTAAGTATTGTTGGCTCATTTAGTTTTTAAAAATCTAATTCCTAATAAAAGTGAAATAGATGTGAAGTGGCCTCTGACAATAGGAATTGTAGCTATTAGGTGGTGATAGATTGTATTTATTGCTGTTTTTATGGTTATAGGAGAAGGAAAAATTGATATAAAGGACAGCATACAATAATAGGCACCTTAGAAACTCTCTTAGGATATTATTACATGTAATAATCATATTTCAACATAAGTCAAAAAGATTTTTAAGAACATAAGGTCAGTTGTCTTTCACTCACTACCTACCCTGTTAAAAGCTAAACAAATGATGTTTATTACTATATACTTGTCTTTCCCAGGTTAGAAAGAAAAATGGTAACTCTAAGCATTTTAATAGCATCTAAATAGGAAATCTAAAATAATAGAAAATTTAAAAATCAATGTGCCTCCTCTAAATTTATGTAGGAATAAATATCCCATTGTTTGTTCATAGGCAGGTTCTGCTCCACCCAGTCTATGAAACTAACATAAAGATGAGTATGTTCATCTAGCAACCACAGCCCTAGGCTCCCCTAGCTGTCCAGCCCACTCTCCTTGCTCATATTCGAACATTGCAGCAGGAGGACTAATTCTACAGAGAGGACATCAGGGGCTATCTTTTAAGTAAAATATTTGATCAAACATTTTTGAAGCCAGATTTAAGAACAGTACAGGATAAAAGAAAGTCATATTAATGACGGTAAGACTGAGTACTTCCTATGTACAAGAACTATTTTTTAAAATTTCAGTTGTACAGGGGCCGGGGAGATGGCTCAGTGGAATAAGCACTTCCCTAGCAAGTGCAAGGGTCTGAGTTCAATCCCTGGTTCAAAAAAAAAAAAAAAAAAATTCGGTTGTACAAGCACATTTAATTCATACAACAGAATGCATTTCAATAAGAGTGAAACACTTATTTTTGTTTGAAGTGCAGGGTGTTTGCAAAAGTAAAATAATATAATGGGGTAGCTATGGGCAGACTGTTAAATTTATACTTGTACATTAATACTTTGTCTAATGCAAAGGTTGGACTGGAGAGAAACTGATGTCAGACCATTTAGAAGGATATTGCAATAAACTTGGGAGGGGAACATTTGATGATCAGCTCAGAAACAAATCAACTAATTGTTTAGACTAATTTTCTCTGTCTTTTTTTCTTTCTTTCTCTCATTCAAAACTATTTCTAAGGGTTTTGGATGTGTCTGACACTATGCTAAGTGACAGAGAAGTAAGAAAAGGGGAATTTAAAAATATCTTTTACTCGCCATTGGCAAGTGAAGTTAACTGCCTTGTCTCTCCCCTTCTCTGCTTGCTCCGTATTCATTCAATACCTTGTTTTATATAGTGGTCACAAATCAACGGTGGAGATGAAGGGAAAGGGAAAAAATGCTGCTGTTTTCATTCTCATCATTTTGGGAGTGCCTTCTTCCTAGAACTTTCTTTCTTTCCTGGTGGTCTGGACATAAGGCACAGTACATGGTGGTAAACCACTAAGACTGCTGGAATGGAGTAGGGATTCTTACTCATCCATAGGAGAAAAAGACCTCCTATTTAATTTCTAAATGTGTGTCCTGATTTGGCATATTTTAACCAAAGCAAAACATTATTCAGAAAGGTATCTGACATGATTCCCATGTATAGATTTTCATATAATCTATAAATATAAGCACAAAAAATAAAGCTCTGAGTCAGGTCCAAAGGTATGAAAATAATAGAACAAGCATACTATGAACATTAAAAATCTTGTATCTAGTTTGACTGGTAAATTAATTTCAGACACATTATTCTATTGAATTCCACAGAAAGCTCTGATCTTTTAAAATTAAGATCTGCTCACACTTTGTAAGAATAAATCCCAACCACTTTCGGAAAAACAACTAGGTAACAGAATGACTACCACTGAGAAATATTTTGCTCTATGGAAACTGTTTTTCATTATTATTTTATGAGAGCTTGTCTAGATAGTATGTATCCTTCACTACCTACATTTAGTTCTTTTAAAAATGTCTTCTTCAGATGCCTGGGGTTATGTTAGTTTCTTTGGATCTAATTGGATCTTAGATTATAAACTCTTATTTTAATTCTTTCCAAAGGATCTTATGTAGGTGGGCTCACTTCCAAAAGCATTTATCATGACTAATGTACACTGCTGGTCTATTCTTTTAAAACTAAAAAATCAAAAGGTATTTTTGGGGAACTTAGGAACATCAACAATCCTTCAAGTACAAACTAGTTCACATATGCCACTGGTGAGAATTTATATGCCCATAAAAACCTAACTGTAAAAGAAAGAACTCTATGAAAGTGAGCACATTTTAATTTCAATTTTATTTTAAGCATATGAGCCTGGTTTGGACTTGTGTGTTCAAGGCGACAGGTTTTTTCTTTTTCTTTTTCTTTTTTTTTTTTTTTTTGCAGTACCGGGGATTTGGACTTGTGTGTTCAATGAATTATGACCTAACTCAGTCATGGGAAAGCATCTTGCACCAATATTAAGAATAAAAATGCAGAATCCTGGGCTTGTACATTTTAATTCTATTCTACCACTTTCATCATTTACCAAGCTTTGGTGTTTGTTTCTGTATGGAAAAAAAGATTTGAATAACCACCTAGTTATACCCCACTGAAAACTGTGTTCAGTTATTAACCATTTCAAACATGCGTATGTTTACTGTTAATAAATAGGAATTGAAATTGTGAAGGTATAAAACACTATGTGAGTGATCCACGGACACATCCCTATGACTGGTGTCTCCGATTAACATGTTAGTAAGAGAAGGCTTCGCTGTCCTGGGCACTGAATCCACAGATGAAAAGCCTGCAGTCACACTGAGAAGTGGTTTTCATTCTGTTTGGTTCAAGCATGGAAAGGACAGTCATAGACATGCCCAGAGACAGGCCTGGTGGAGAGACAGAGGTAAACTCACAGAATTAGAGCAAGCCAGTGCCACAAGGCCCTTGGACAGCATTGAACTGTCCTCCCTGGGTGGGAAAGAAAAACAAATTGGAGCCATCTGACTTACCTGCGACGCAGATCCTCTGCCACCGCTGCCCGGCAACTGAACAGGTAGGCTCTCAGTGATTTTAGCCGCTGCCGCAGGCGCACCACGGTGGCCAGCGGCTCGGCATGGAGGTACAGCATGGGGTTCTCCTGTTGGATGTCGATCAGGGGCTCTTCATACACATACTCCAGGAACTCTTTGGCCTGCTTAGACACCTATAAAACAAGCTTCAGCAGTCAGTCCTAAGGAATCATCCAACTCATAACACTTGCTCAATCAAACTAGTAACTTTAGCATAGATAGATTGGCCTTGGGATCCTCCCTAGGAACCAGTGACGCAGGTTTCTCCCCTCCTGCCACACCTTTCTACCCTGATACTTCTGCCTTAGAGCCAGCTGACCATGGACTGACCCCCCTTAAAATGTAAGCCAAATTAAACCTATCCTTCTTTAAGTTGTGGGTATTGGTTACTTAGTTCAGCAACAGGAAAGCTGACTAACATAGATGTATATTCCACAATAATTAGTCACTTTAAAATAACAATGCAAAACCATATACCTATTATAAAATTTAAAAAGAATAAAAATAGTCAAAGAAAGGGAAGGACAAGAAAGGACACTGTATGTAAAATAATCTGATTGAATAGAAGACAGGCTCAAACTATGGCTTCTGTTAAAAAACCTTTGAACCTGGATTGACTCTGGCCAATATATACACCCAGCACTGATCCACTTCTGGTAGCAGACAAGACTGTTCTGGCTTATATCTGGGTGCCCCCCACAAAGCCTTGGCATGTAGAAGTAGGACCTGCAGAAGGTGACTGGATCCTGGGCACACCATAGCTGGCTTGGTGTCAGAAGGTAGGATGTGGTTGGAAGAGGCAAGTCAGCATAGGGTGACCTGGAAGGGTATATCTTCCTTCCTGGCTCCTCCCTCTCTCTGTGCTTCCTGGCTACCATGGCATGAGCAGCTTTGCCTCTACTGTGCTCTCTGCCATGCTGCCTGACTATGGACTGAAAACATGAGCCAAAATAAACCTCTACACCCTGAAGTTCTGGGCATGGCATATGATGTCCCGATGAAGATGAAAGAGACTAAGACATAGGCTAAGAATGTTGATTTAAAAATGCCGTTCTCATCTGTAGAAATAAATACATCAGAAACACAAGGCATCAGAGATACAAAAGTGATTCAACAATGCATAACATGGGTAATTCTTTTAGAATCTCTATATGCCAATTCACAGATACTGAGATATAAATTGGATAACAATTTCTATTTATGGAAGGCAAAATGTCCTCAGAAAGTTGCCACTAACATCTCTCTAGGAACATGGCTAGAATTTAGCACTGAAACAAACTACTCATTTACAAAAACAAGATCCCCTTAAATTCATTACGTTTCATACTTTAGAGGCTTATTAAATGAAGATAAATAGGAGACAGCTCCTACATTCAAGGGACTTGCTATTTATAAAAGACAAATATTTAAAACAAAAATAATATATAACCTGTCATCTGATACAAAAGCACAGCTGAGGCCTACTGGTAGCATAAAGCAGGGAGAAATCAACTTTCCTGATAAGCGGGCTGAGAAAACAGGTGACAGTACACTCGGGTGCAGAAAGATAAATAGAAATTCCCTGAGTAGCCAAGTTTGGTGGTGCATACTTGTCTCTAATCCCAGAACTCTGAGAGGCTGAGGCAAGAAGATGGCAAGGGTTTTTTTTTTTTTTTTTTTTTTTTGGTATTTTAGTAAGGCGCTAAAGGGTCTCACTATGTAGATCAGACTCGTAGTGATTCGCCTGTGTTCAGCCACCCAAGAGCTGGGATTACAGGCATGCGGCACCATGCCCAGTCTCTAAGCTGGCAAGTTTGAGCCCAACTTGGGCAACTGAATGACTTAATGAGACCCTATCTCAAAATAAAAAAGATCTGGGGATATAACTCAGTGTGAAGCTCTTGGGTTCAATCTCCAGTACCACAGAAAGAAAAGTTCAGTTGGTGGACACTGTAGGACCGAGAAGAGGACAGCAGGCAGACACAACCATGAAAAACCTTCAATATGTACTATTAAGTATATAGCTATTGTGCACTGACTGGCATGCATTGTATACATGATATAAAATTCATATTAACATTTTTTTATATCATAAAGGTCATACTAAAGGTTATGCTTCTTACACAGATATAAAAAATTACATCATTAATTTTTTTTTCCTTATAAGCAATTGTTTTTGAGATGCCTGTTCGGTTATCTGATCCTGCAGAGTCAGAATTAAGGGGCTTACAAGGTTTTGGAAATCCATCTCACAAAGAGGGACTAGAAATTAGCCAAAGCTTCTGAGTAATTAGCTATACAAGAAATAACAGGGTGACAGAGTGAGAAAATTCTGCCTTGTGTTTCAGGTACATAGAGATACATGCCCCTATACCATGGCAAACATTAAGCCTTTGATGGAAGATAAAATAAGCAGAGCCTTGTCCTCAGGTAGCTCACAGGTCAGTGCAGAAAGGCACAATGGGTTAAATATTTTATTTATCATCTTTAAACATTTGCTGTATTTAAAAGTCTTCAATGAGGAAAAAACTGATGGTGTTCTGGAAAATCAAGTACAAACCACTTGAAACTGTTGCTAAAAAAAAAAAATGATGTATTGTACAATTCAATTAGCCCTTCTCATTCTATGGAGCAGTGTTTATACTGAGTCAGGGCCCTGCTGAATTAGGTTAACAATGCTACCTTTTAGTAGGTGAACAGAAGGACAAAGGGCACTGGCCAGTCTCCCAGGCCTTAAAAGGATTCTCTCTTCAGGTGGTACTCCAACCCGAAAGCAAAAAAAAAAAGTCTTTTACAGAGACAGTAAAAGCAGCAAGACAAATAGGACAGCAGCTACTGACAGCAGTATGCATAAACTTAAATGACAAGAAACAAAACAGCTAGTCAAAGCACAGCATTCTCAAGTTCTTAACCAGCATTAAGCACAGTGAGCACATCCGTGGTTTGGGCAGGTGAAGAAATGCTTGCCATGTGGAGTCAATTTTGGCAACAAGACTGAGCACATGCTCAGGTTTTTAAGAATCAACCATTAAGACTGGTGAGGGGATTTTTGAGAGAACTCAAAACTTGGCATGAAGTGCAAGTTTTGCAAAATAGAGCATTGCAGCCCTGCTGGTTTCTTAAGTCCTAAGTGACCCTCTATAGTGGCACAAGGAGTCCACTCTCACACTCAGCTATGACTGAAAAAAATTTACAACGAAAAAAAATTAGAAGTTACTTAGGAAAAGTGACCAATACATTCAATTTATGTGAGAAAAGCTTAACATAAATATCATGTTATATAGTTATATGTGAACAGTGACTACATTCCAAAGAAGAGCTAAGAGCTATTGTTCTACTTCTTGCCAACTAATCTATGAAAACATAAAATTCTTAAGTGTTACTTCAGATGTAAATAACAACTCAGTTCATGAGTCAGGTGCATCTGGGTGAGAGCTGTTTTTTTAAAAAAATGAATGGTTTAGCTGACAGTGTTCTCTGTGATTGCAGTCTATTTATATAAGAGTCCATCTTTGCATGCTCAGAGGCTTTTTTTTTTTTTGTGTGGAACTGGGGATTGAACTCACACTCTTACGCTTGCCAGGGAAGTGCTTATTCCACTGAGCCATCTCCCCGGCCCCTCAGAGGCTCATTTTTAAAACCTATGGGCCTACTAATATTTCATCAAATACTCAAAGCCATGATGGTGCATGTGTCATAGTTTGTGAGCTGAGTCCTCCCTCAGAGCCCTGTAGTCTGCATGATTCAAAAAGAAAGAAGGAAAAAGCACGGATGGAAACAGGTCTCTGCTATCTCACATTCAGGGGGAGCTTGAGAAAACAGTACAATCACACCATAACTACAACTAATAATGACTAAATCTATATTGTTCAATTTGAACAGTAAGTATGGTTGCCATTAATGTGAAGATACATGAGTTTTGTCATGCTGGTGACAGCTACCTCTTAAAAACAAAATTTTCAGATGCTATTCCAGTTTGTGTAATGTTTAACAAGGTGCTCTGGAATAGTGCTCTGATATGTTCCTTGACAAAAAAAAAACAAAAAACAAAAAACAAAAACCCGAACAACCCTGGATAAAAAGTAATTGGGCAAAGGGAGTAGTTAACCATAGGCAGCAATTTGGAGACAGTGTGGTGTTGGTGGTAGTGAGGACTTTATTTTCATTATAGGAAGAAAAGGAATCAGAACAAAACATAAAAGAGCAGGCCATATGTGGCAGTGGCACATACCTGTAATCCCAGCACTTGGGAGGCTGAGGTAGAGTAAAGCCAGGAGTTCAAGGTCTGTCTGGGCTACCTAATGAGTTCAAGTTCAGTCTGAACTACATAGCAAGATCTTGTATCAAGAAACAGAGAGAGAGAGAGAGAGAGAGAGAGAGAGAGAGAGAGGTGTTTTGAGGTCCGTAAAGACACATACCCTACAGAACTTCTCTTCTTGGTGATTCGAAGGATAGTGATTAGCATGTTGACACAGATATCTTGTACTAAAGAAACCCTGCTTAACTTTATCTTTCTGCCCATTTGGCTACAAACTGAGCAGCTGTTTGGTATTGTGCCAGACCTATGGGAGAAGAGGGGCTGGAGATACAATTCAGCCTGGCACTGCTAACAAATTGGAGGAAGGGGCCTCATCTTTCTTAAACTTTGCTCCAATCAGTCACTTGCCAAGTGGAAAGCTTGAGGACTGCCTTCTCCTGGACAAGCCCTTTCCTAATCCTCACAACACTGGCCTGACTGTGACTTTCCTATGGAGCTCTTCTTTTGGGTAACACTTACTGACATGTTCAGAATTTGCGAATGCTCCATAGAATCCACTTTGAGAAACGTTAGGTATTAATCCATGATGTTTTAAATAGAAGAAAATACTGAGCCTAGAAAGCTTCAGTGACTTATTTATGTCTACTTCATGGCAAAACTGGAGCCAAAATTCAGTCTCTGGATATCCCTCTATGTACATTATTTATAGACACAGATTTTTATTTTTTATTTATTTATTTAATTTATTTATTTTTTTGGTGGAACCGGGGATTGAACTCATGTCCTTGTGCTTGCCAGGGAAGCGCTTATTCCACTGAGCCATCTCCCTGGCCCCCAGACACAGTTTTTTAAAAAGTTTTTCACTCTACCATAATCTACCAGTTTATTCCTTAGTAG